CTTCTAACCAATGCCATAGTTCAATTAAATTAAAATTTAGGAATGCCTTTAGTAACATCTGACATTGTTAATAGACATATTCAAAGAGTATTTCCTTGCTACGCACTAAAACAAACTTATCAATTCCAAAAAAAAAAGAGAAAAAAACAAAACACTAAACTCACAATTTTAAGATCAGCAACTTGCTTGTTAATCTTGTTGAATTCCTTACGCAAGCCCTCAACTTTGAATTCCTCTGCAACATAAATCACAAAAAGGTTAGCTATTTTCTAAACCAAAATATCGTAAATGAAAAAAAAAAATGTTAATGGGTATTGGAATTTAAGGATGATTACGTTTGCGCTACTCCTTGTCATGGTTGATAACCTCGCCGACATCATCAACGCTAGCAAAATGCTGCTACTACGACTCTCGAATTTTGTCTAGGTTGCCACCTTTCTCTTCTTGAAAAAGATTGATGTCCAACATCCCTACGCTTGCTTCTGAAGTAATAGAAGAAAGCGTAACCTATAATAAATCTTTCACAAAAACCCCTTGTTTGCAAGGTGAGGCTGCTATCTTTCTCTCGGGACAAGATTAAGGATTGATGGACCCCAATCTTTGTTTACAAAATTTCTATACAATTTTTTCATAAATTTCACTTGTTATATAATGATTAATTATTTTTATTTTATTAGAATTTTAATAGGACACTGATACATACACTCTGCAAAGTTACATACTTTATTACACACTAACAATTTTCATTACTTAATCCGTTATACACTAACGGTTTACCAAAAATGAACTACTATTCTGGATACAAAATCAAAACTTACGAAATGAAAAACTGACCGTTTAGAATATAAATCAATATGTCTTGAATACTCAAACAAAATTTTAGCTCAATCTAATGGTAAACTTTGTAGATCGAAAAAAATGGCAAAGTTGTTCACAGTATCAAAACTGTAGAAAAATAGATCATAAAAAATGAGTTACTGTTTTGGGCATAAAATCAAAACCTACAAAGCTCCAAACAAAAAACTGACCATTTAGAATGTAGATTAATGTCTCTTGAACACCCAGACAAAATTTCAGTTTAATTCAATGGTGAGCTTTTGTGAATTGGATACCAAAACTGCAAAAAAACATATCACAAAAAATGAGCTACTATTCTAGACACAAAATCAGAACCTACAAAGTTTCAAACAAAAAATTGACCGTTTAAAATGTAGATCAATGTCTCTTGAACACCCAAACAAAATTTCAACTCAATCCAAGGGTGAACTTCTATAGATAAGACAAAATGGTAAAACTACGCATAATACCAAAACTGTAGAAATTTTCGTTGTTTTCTTTTCCCTTTTCTATGAATTGGCTCCATTAACATGCACTCTAGTTTTTACTATATCATCCCAAAAATAGACTTGGTTTATTTGTCGAATGGGCTACAAAATCATTTGCTAAAGGGAAATGATATACAATTTCTAAAGTTACACACTCCATTACACCCTAACAATTTCCGTTAGTATGCCGTTAAAATTGATGGTTTTCGTTATTTGTGCTGTTAAAATTGACGGTTTTCATTATTTTTGCCGTTAAAACTAACGATTTTTGTGAATTTTAACAACATACTAATGGAAACCATTAATGTGTATCGGAGTGTGTAACTTTTGGAGGTTGTATGTATCAATGTCCCTAGGCTAAAACAAAGATGATTTTGTGAAAAAATGAACTCTTTCTCAAGATACTGGACACTCAAGATTCTAATTTGGTGCTTAAATGTACTGTCTGATTGGAAGAGTGAGAGGGAGAAAGGAAAGAAGAGAGAGAGAGAGAGAAAGGGCTGAGTGCCTTTGGAAAGTTACAAGGGAAGTGTGTAACGGATTAAGTAAGGGAGATCGTCAATATATAACGGAGTATATAATTTCAAAGAGTGTATGTATCACTTCCCTTTTTAATATTATATGTATTTATTTCTTTAATAATAAGTTAATAACATATAAAAATTATAAAAAAAATTTATGGTAAATTTACAAAAAAATTAAATAAAACAAAGAATGTTGTCTGCATATAATTATTCTTTTTTACTAGTATCAAATTAACTAATTCTAGCGACATCTTCATATAAATTCTTTGAGGAGTTCAATATTAATCTAGGACCCTAGGTTATTATATTTTAGGCTGACGGTACCAATAATTTGATAGAGTTTGAGGGCTTAAAATAGTATTTTTTTTATAACTTGCCAAAATGGAATATCCAAAATAGAAGAAACCGTAAATATAAAATATTTCTATTGAGTAGTTTTAGGAATTAGTATCTAATGCAACATAAAAAAAAAAAAAAGGAAAAAAGAAAAGAAAAGAAGATAGAATTAGAATATGATGCAAATTAATCAACATCTTTTGTATTCATTACAACTAAAGAAAAGTGAGCACGGCTATCCCATAAAAGAGAAAAAAAAAAAAGAAAGAAAGAAAGTGAGCACGGTTAAAAAATTTATTTATTGGAGTATATGTTATTTATGACAGTATCCAATTCAACTGACGGTCCAAATAGTTAGACAAATTTAATTGAAATCAGAGGTCAAAACGAGTTGGCCTTTAGATCAAGTTTAAAAATAAGATAGTGATTAGTATACATTTGGTTTCAATACACTGTACAATATATTTATTAAAAAATTATTATTTTTTTATCTAAAATTAAAAGCAAATAAATTTAAAAATACAATTATGTACACAAAGTGTAAGAACTGATTGAATTGATTGTATCTATATTATTTTTTAATAGTTAAACCAAAAATGTGTTAAAAAATTTGTTGAAATGAGAGTATACAGATCATTTCCTTAAAAATATTGCTTTCATCCATTACTCCCCACTACCACTAATCTCCTCCATTCCTCGTCTTCCTTAACTCTTCCCTTCACCCAATATTCATTTCTTTCCCTTCATCATCGAACAACAAAAAAGAATATAACCTATAAATTTAAAAAAAAAAAAAAAAACCCTAATTTATGTTTGTTTGAAGGGCGAGGCTATTGTTCTTACTTGAAACAAGATAAAGGAAAGGAGATCAATAATCATAGGTTTTTACTTTTTAAGTTGATGATCTTACCAACAATTTTGATCAAGTTTGAAGGCTTTAAATAGTATATTTTTAGAACTTTTTAAAAAGGAATATCTAAATTAGAAGAAATAGAAAATATAAAATTGTGAACAATAATTCTACTCTTGAAAATCAGATGGATAAAAAAAATTGCACAAAAAGAATATTTATATTAAGAAAATGATAGGAGCACACCGAATCTCACACCCAGGTGTGCACACCGAATCTCACACCCAGGTGTGCACCCCCTATATAAACAAAAGAAAAAATTGTTCATCACCCAATCCAACTTTTTTTTTTTATGTGGAAAGTGCACACCCGAGTGTAGGATCTGGGTGTGCACCAATCATGATCTTTTATATTAATATAAAATTTGTAAATACAACTTCCGAGTAAATAAAGAATTTAAAGTAATTCCTAGATTCGACCTCCTAATTGAGTCTGATTTGATCTACATCAAGCATCTTTAAAGGAATATTCCACCATATTTTAATCAAGCCGTATGATTTTACCATATGTTCGGATGATATTCAATTTAAATAAGACATGCATTATTATTTTATTTAACTGTATGTTTTAATTTATTTTGTTTTAAAAAGACACAATATCCTATAATTTTACCACAATATCTTATTTGTGGATTTTGATTTGGTATGGGTGATGACACATTAACTTAGTTGAATCTTAGTTTACAACATGATCCAATGGTTGAAAAATACTTTTTTGTCTACAAAAATATTTCAATTGAACAATATTAGGAATTAGTATATGAAGCAACAAAAAAAAAAAAATGCAATTAATTAGCATCATATCTTATTCATTATAGCAAAAGAAAAATGGGAATATGAGATTAGGGTATGTAGTCGCCTCCAAGCTTGGCTCTTTCAATCGTTACTTTCCACTCCTAATAATTTCCTCCCTTTCTCATCAAATGACTAGTGAAATAAATAAAGGAGAACATAACCTGTAAATCTTTCAAAAAAAAAAAAGCAACCTAGTTTGTGTTTATTTGCAACGTGAGGCTTCTGTTTCTATTCGAGACAAGATTAATAAGAGTCTTTGTGCCACATAATTAGTGCCAACCCATATTTTTATTAGTATCAAAATAATTTAATATTATAAAATAAGTTTATATATTTTAAAATAATTTTAATATTATTAATAAGTTTATATATTTTTGTTGTTAGTTAAAGTCCTTTTAAACAAATTATTAGTTTTTTATTTTAGGTTTTGGTTTTCAATGATTACAAAATTTATAAATTTATAAAGGTTTAAGTACCATTTTAGTCCCTCAACTTTTCATTTTGATACTAAAATTGTCTCTCAACTTTAAAAAATATCAAAATTATCCTCAAATTTTCATTTTCGGTATCAAAATGATCTTTCTGTTAGTTAAATGACAGGTGACACGTTAAAATGCCTGCAAATCATTTTTTTTTTCTTAACTAATGACATGAAAAAAAAAACATAGTTGGCATTTTCATTTAATTTAAAAATAATAATTCTTTTTTTTTTTACCCACGTCAGATTTCTTCTTCCTCTTCCTCTTTCATTTTCTCTCTCCTTTACCTTTCCTTTTCTCTTACCTCTGCAAACCTAGATCCGGGTTTTCTCTCAAACTTCATCTTCTTCCTCCTTTCCTCCTTACTTTCCTTGCTCATTTTTCTTTCTTCTTCTTATTCTCTCTCTCTCTCTCTCTCTCTTTTCTCCCTTCTTTTTCCTTTCTCAAACCCAGATTTGGTTAACCCACCCCTTTCTCCAGTCCCAACACTTGAGATCAGAGTGCAGAAAACACATTTAGTGAGCATATTATTATCTCTGAACAAATGCTCTGCCACCAAAATTAGAGGATCATCTAGAGAACACAAAAGTAAAGAAAAACAGGAAACCGTTCCTTTGACCATTTGTTAGATCTAAGACAGCGATTATTTACTAATCTCATCATGGATTAATAGAGCAAAATTAATAATAATAATAATAATAATAATAAACCAGAGAAGGAATGAAGAAATGAAGCAAAAGATAAAGTAATAGTATTCCTATACAAAAAATCCTGATCTCGACCCTCCATAGTTACAGCAATATCAAAAACAAAAGAAATTAAAGAATCAAGACAAGGCATGGAAGACCTCTACAGTCTGGGCGACTGATGAGGCGGAGGTTGGTGTAGGGTATTGGATGCTCCGCCACACCGGAAACAGCTACCGTATTCTTCATTTCCTCTTTCTCAATCCTTCGAACCCACCCCTTCTTCTGCCTTCTTCTTCCTTTCCAGATCTGGGTTTTCTCAAACCCACCCCCTTCTCCGTCGCTCGCTTATACACCAACCCTGCACACGCCCCATCCGTGCCAAACCCTCAAACTCTCACACACAGATATGCTCGACCCTTCGCACACACGTGATACCCTTGCCTACACGCGCCTTCTCTCTCGCCGACCTGACCCGACCCGACGTCTCCTGAAAGCCCTTAACCTCGCCTTCTCCTCCTTAGTTCTTTCGCCCTTCGCAGCTTCCTACACTCACCATATCAGACAATGCCAAAGAGATACTCTGATCACCAAAAAGATGGATTTGTTCATTTGAGGGGGTCTGTTGAAGATGAGCAGGTAGAAATTATAAATAAAAAATATTTTAATTTACACGTCATTTAAAAAATGCCATGTGAGTCCCACTAAAAAAAACTGAGGTGGTCACAATCTAACGTGTAAAAAAAATGCCATGTAACAAGATTTTCTTTACTGGATTTACACGTTATTAAGATTCAAAAAAAGCCAATGATTTTATGACATCTTAACATGCCAACTGTGCACTTAATTGATAGAAGGATTATTTTGATATCGAAAATAAAAGTTTAAGGATAATTTTAATACTTTTTAAAATTAAAAAACAATTTTGATGTCAAAGTGAAAAGTTGAGGGACCAAAATAGTACTTTAACCATTTATAAACTATATTAGGAAGACTAAACTTTGTTTGTCGGTGGTATTGTGTGCTACGTTATGCTGTAGTCATAGGTTTTTTTGTCTTTTACTAAGTAAAAAAATATTTAAAAAATTAATAAAAATTAATAAAAAAAATTAATTAAAATTAATTTAAAATAATAATTTTAAATTAAAGATTATGGGTAAAAAAAGGCCATTTTGAAAAGAAACTTAATTCTTACATTATCTTTAGATCATGATACTCTTTAATCTACGACCCTAGGTTGTTTTTTCTTTAAGTTGACAGTCTTGCCAACAATTTTGATAAAGTTTGAGGGCTTAAAAATTAAAATAGAATTAGAACTTGCTAAAAAGGACGTATAGAAAATATGAAATATTTCAATTGAGCACTTTTAAGTTTTAGGAATAAGCAATCCTTTAAGAACCAACCCAGTGCTTGACCCATTTTAGGCACTAAGTCTGGTTCAATTGGTTAAGTTGGTTTAATTGATTGGCTTAATTAGTTATACAAAAAAAATGATATTTTAATTTTTAAAAAGTAAGAAACAAGATTTGATTTTAAAACATATGGCAATTATGTAAATATTAAATCACTAAACTCAATAGTTTTTATTCCTAACATTTCAAATTTTTTAACTTATTTATAATTAAAAATTAAATGCAATAATTAGTAATTTTATAAAAATTAAATAAAAATTTTAATTTAAATCTTTTAACATCAAACAATTTCTATAAAAAATAAAAAGAAAAGGAAAAAACAATATCATTAAATCAAATTTCATTTAATGTTTAAGTATTTAAAATTTTGAATCTTATCATCATTATCAGTATTATTTATGATTTTATTAAATAAACAATTTAAAATCTTAGAAATAAAAACTTAATTTAATTTAGTAATATGATTTATAATTTAAGTTTTAAAGATAATTACTTTAATTTTGTTATTTTATTTTTAAAATTAACTAATAGATATTTTATTTAATGAAAATATTTTTCTAACATGTTCTTTTGCATTTATTGTGCCTTTTAACAATCCATTTTTATAAAAAAAATAAAAATTATTTTTAATTTATTAAATGCATAATTAAAATCATCCACCTGATATTGACTTAGAAAATAATTAATTGTTAAAAATTTCATAAATGCACTCTTAACTTTAACTAAGTTAACAAAAACATATTTTATTTTATTTTATTTTAATAAATGAAATTGTGTTGAATAATGACATTGTGGTGTTGGTGGCGAATGATAATAAACCTAAAATATGAGTTGAGAGAGTAGGGTTGGAACTGTCTCATGCATAAATTTATTGAAAGATAATCAAAACTTTATGAATCAAATAGTTTATTGGTTCAAAAGTTTGGTTTAAAAGACAACGAATTTAGTTGGTTTTTATAAATTTTGACTGCATATAATGATCAAGTCTCATCATGAATCAAACTGTTTTCATAACCAATTTTGGTTCAACTAATTAGATCAACTGATCGGTCCAAATTTTAAAGCAATGGAAATAAGGACATGAGGGAATATAAAACAGAACCAAAAAAAAAAAAAAAAAAAAAAAAAGAAAGAAAGAATCTGATGCAAATTAATCAACATCATATCTTATTCATTGCAGCAAAAGAAAAATGAGAATATGAGATTAGGGTACGTAGGTGCCTCCAAGTTAGGCTCCCTTTTTTTTTTTTCAACAAAGGCAATTACCTTCTACCATATTTAAGGGGCGGCGGGGGTGGGAGAAGGGGGAGTTGGGGGTTGAACTTGAAACCTCCTAGCGGTGTCTCCATTTAGGGAGAGAGTGGAACCACTCCGTCCATGACGTGGGGAACCAAGTCATGCTCTTTCATTCGTTGCTCTCCACTCCCAATAAATTCCTCCCTTTCTCATCACCCTCAACTCTTCTTTTCACCCAGTATCCATTTCTTTCCCTCAGGTCTGCCTCTACCCTTGCTCCCTCTCCATATACTGGAATTGGCTTATCTTGGTGTCTTTATAATATATAGTTTTATATTATACTCTTCTATGTACTTGTATACTTGGATTTTGCAGATTTGTTGTTTGGTGGAATTGAAACTATGCATAGATTGCAAAATTGAATCTAGAGTGTGTGTTTGTGAGGATTGCTTAGTGTTCAGAGTTCATAGTTGTTCTGGGTGGGATTATGTCTTCAAAGGGCATGCCTTTGTATGATTTTTGCAGAAAATTCTAGAAATACTGAAGGGAAAGGGAAAATTTTAATCCAATAAGGTATATATGCAATTGGGTCTGCATGCAGTAGGAGAAAGTAAGATGCTTGTGTAAAACAAGAAAAGAGGTGAAATTAGTCTGTTTGTCCAGAAAGTAAATTAGAGAACTTTGGTCTGTTTGACAAGTTCGAATTTTCATGTTTTATCAGTGCTTCTAGGTTTGCTAAATCTGTTTGTGTTTATTTTATCATGATGAAGGAAGAAAGAACCTAACTTTGCGAGCAGGAATTGGAAGTCTTCGTCATAAGGCCAAGGCACAACAGGGTGAAATAATGGAATCAGCAACAGAAGTTCGGGAATTAAACAGGAATCTTTATCCAGACATAGAGCCCTATAGTACTGGTTTTCTGAAGGTTTCTGATCTTCACACAATCTACTGGGAGCAATCAGGGAACCCAAATGGATATGTGAGTCTTGTTACCAGTAAACATTCTGTTCTATCTGTGGGGAATGTTTATTTATTTATTTTTTCTATTCTGGTAGCTGATACAAGAGTATTTTCTTTGGTCTAATACGTTAATATAATTTCATTCAGAAAGTCCATTGTTGTTGGCACCTTATATTTCTAAAGTTTCTTTATCTGTCCCTATGTTACCCTGATGGTAGAGCTTTTGTGGGATTTTATCTGAATCTGGTTGCAAAAGCATGGTTTAGATGTGTGCTTAGTGCTGACAGCCATTAGAGTAGATATCAGAGTATAGATTGATGGTATTAGCTCTTACAGCCATATTAGATATATTGCAACTTGAAATGAAGTGGTACATCATTCTGTTGATGTTTTTTAACAGCCAGTTGTCTTCCTTCATGGGGGCCCTGGAGGAGGAACCGCACCAAGTAATCGGAGATTCTTTGATCCTGATTTTTACCGAATTATTCTATTTGATCAGGTTACTCTTTGAACCTTTATGCCAAATCAGGAATGACATCTTAACTCTAAAGCAGCATATGTGACTATATATTATATACCAGCGAGGTGCAGGAAAGAGTACGCCTCATGCTTGCTTGGTAGAAAACACAACATGGGATTTAGTCAATGACATTGAAAAGCTTAGAGAACACTTGGAAATTCCTGAATGGCAGGTAATCAGATCTCTTTTATTAGTGGTAATAAAAGTGTTTCATTTGTTTGTAAGTCTTGTTTGGTTTAACTATAATTTTTTCCTGTCTGATTACTCAGGTGTTTGGTGGCTCATGGGGAAGTACACTAGCTCTTGCTTACAGCCAATCTCACCCTGAAAAGGTGCATAACCTCCTTACTTAACTATCGTTTCTTTGGTTAAAGTCCCTGATCACATGCAATCATGTCAAAAATAAATCAGAAAAGAATGCACTTTGGTTTGGTTTTAATAATATCCCTTAAATATAGCCAAAATAGAAAAAATTAATATCTCTTATGTTGTGCAAGGTTACTGGCATGGTCCTAAGAGGAATTTTCCTTTTGCGGAAGAAAGAGATTGACTGGTTTTATCAAGGTGGTGCTGCTGCTATATTCCCTGATGGTATGTACTGTATGATTCTTTTGCTGGTTTAATAGATGGTTGTTGCAAATTTATTAAGATGAAGTGATGGAGTCTCCAAATACCTTGAGTTTGATTTCAAAAAGCAATGAAAGTTGGGTTCCAATTGCAAGATTGTTCTGAATATAGATTTTACAGAATTTACAAGGCATCTATAGAAAATAGGAGCTTGTAAAATGAATCTGTTCTGTAAGACTACAGTACTATAACCATGTCAAGTATGGTAATGGCTTAGGAACAGTGCATAATTTTTATAACTTATATCATGGTGCTAAAACTTTATTCCTTTTAGTATGAACTTTAAAGGCATTTAGTTTGTCTTTTTGCTGATTAAATATGTGGAGGAGTTTAAAAAGTTGCTGAATCTTATTCATTTCTTCTCAATGCACAGCTTGGGAGCCATTTAGGGATCTTATTCCTGAAAATGAGAGGGGTAGTTTCATTGATGCCTACCACAAGAGGCTAAATTCTGATGACTTGGAAACACAAGTAAGAGTTCTCAGCTAGTTAAAGGTTTCATAACCTATTTTTGTGTGTGTGTGTGTGTGTGTGTGTGTGTCCTTGTTGATTGTTGAACCTGCTTGAAGTTTGATATTTCTTCCTAGTACTTCTTATGTTTACATGGCTCTGTTTTTCTCCCTTACTTTAGTGGAGAATAGCAGTTGTCTTTTGTATCAGACACCGTATGAGATTCTTAGGAAAATAATAAAGACATCATATAGAATCATCTCAAGCTAATTTTGAGACTTAACTCAGCTATATGACATAGGAAGAAAACAAAGATCAATGCATTACATTTTTGATTTCTCAGCTTGCATTTTCTTTTTTATTTTGAACCACTATACTTATTCAAATTCTCTGCCAACTTCTTAGTATGCGGCAGCTAGGGCATGGACAAAATGGGAAATGATGACTGCTTATCTTCTTCTGAATGAAGAAAACATGAAGAAAGGGGATGACGATAACTTTTCACTGGTATGTTTGACCAGTTAGAATTACAGTTTTGAAAAGTGTAAATTATTGATTCCTTGCCTTCATCCACACATAAACTTCATGCCTTTGTCTCTTCATTTTGTTTATTCAGGCATTTGCAAGGATTGAAAACCACTACTTTGTGAATAAAGGATTCTTTCCTAAGGATTCTTTCTTGCTAGACAATGTTGAGAAGATAAGGCATATTAACACTGCAATTGTACAGGTACACAGCTTTTACTGACATTTCTGCTCTCTTTTTTTCTTAAGACAGTAAGTTATGCATAGAGTGGGTTCACATTTTTATCATGCACCAGCAGAATGGTTTACTTGATAATTATCATGTTCTTTCATATTTTGGGCATATTGGGAAGTCAAGAATGTTCATTGTTCAATGGGCAGATAAATATAATTTGGCAGAAAACTGAAACACCTTAAACTGCATATCCATCATTTTAGTAGTCTGTCACTGTCTGTGCTATTCAACTTCATCCTTGAGACTTTGACTGCTCTGTTACCCATTTCAAGCATGAAAAAGACCAAAGCTGTTGTATATTCCATTATAATGGCTTGATGGCTATATCTCTTCAATGCTAAAGAATGTATATCTGTTACCTTTGAATATTGTGAACAGGGAAGATATGATGCTTGCTGCCCCATGATGTCTGCATGGGATCTTCATAAAGCATGGCCAGAGGCAGAGTTTAAGGTAAAAAGAGCTGCCATCGTTTATGTTCAACATAACGTGATTTGCTATCAGTTCACCTAAAACTAAATCTTTATTAGTGCATAGATTTCCATGTTTAACTTGTCCTAAGGTAAACCAAAGTCTTTCTATGAGACTTGAGACAGAAACAAAACAATTTGCTCAAGTTTGTTAGCATAGAAAAATGCCTATAATCATTAGGAATTTTTATATATAAACATTGTAAATGCATTTCAAAAGTTTTTATATATAACTGATAGCTGATTATTTCATTGTGAATGAATGTGTTAGTTTAAAATGAATATTGACTTCAAAAAATATTACTTGAGAAACTATTGTTAGATTTTCACATCTATTTATCTGAAGGACAAATTACTAAACATTGCTGTTCTCTTCAGGTTGTTCCAGATGCAGGGCATTCAGCCAATGAACCGGGAATAACTGCTGAACTTGTGGCTGCAAATGAGAGGTTGAAGAACCTCATCAAGAAGCGTGAACCTTGAAAGCCAGAGGCAGCATGCGGTTGCAGCCTACATTTCCCAGTTGGGACAACATGCTTGAATGAATCCCTGTATCCGTCTGAAAGACGGTAGTTTGAATAATGTTAAATGGAATCCCTGTACTAATGGGTAGATTATGCTTTGTTTATTGAAGGTTTTTGGTTCCCAGAAGAGTTTGTAGGCAATAAATTCTTGTGATAGCACCCTTAATAGCGTGAACATGTCCAAAGAACCATGTTGAACCCTATGAACTTTTTATATCACGCCTGGTGAGAATTTTTATAATCTCTATTCCTTTGGAATTTAAGCCAGGTAACTTTTTGTGCGTGTGTGTGTAACATTAAATTTTTACTCTTCCATTATCATTACTAAACATTGCTTGAAAGTTTAAACCCTTTTTAACTATAATAATCTACTAGATTACCGTCTAAACTTCCACAAAAACCAATGTGCGCAGGAAAACCAAAAAGAAATACCATGAAATGCAGCTCTTCATATGTTTTCCATATTAGAATTTCCAGAATTAGATAAAGGGAAGAATTTAAAATAACATTTACTGTGAAATGGGGGAGCTGAAACTCAAAATTTATTGCTTCTATTACAAATGCAAGCCATTCTTGAATCACAAATGTTACAACAATCCCTTACCACAATAGGGCCCAAATGTTACAAACTTACAACAACAGACACTGATTCAAGGGTGAACTTCCTCTAAACCTGGTGAATATCAAATGTTAAGGAATTAGGTGACTATGATACAGATGGAAGTGGAACTATGTCACTCTCCTTGTACAGCTCCTGGGGACATGGATACTGTGAAAGTTTGGCTCTTTTGGAATGGTTGCGGGCCTCTTTCCCTGTGGCGACTACCCTGAAGCATTAGAAGCAGGAGCTTTTGCCCCTAGAAAAACACCATCCCCATTTGATGCTTCTTTGGGTCTAAAAATTGTTGATGTTTCCTATGTGGTACCAAGTCGACCAGGTTTCATAAGAGAAACCATTTTCTTCTGCTTGATGCTTTCTTATGAAGAGGAAACAAGCAAATTTAGTCCTCAAGATTATATTCTTCACTACAAAGACATATTTAGCAAAGCGATTATAACTCACCCTTGTGGGTTTCAATGGTGATTTTGTCCCTTTCAAACTATCATCAGACTTTTTAGCTGTCTTATTGTGGTCGTTCTCCAATCGTGAAGAACAGACAAGCTTGGTTTTCTGCTGTGTAGAAATAGTACAACTCAGTAGATTTGAAGAAACTTTTCTTTCTGCAGTTCCTTTGGATGTCCTCAGGCAAGAAAATTGCTGCTACCCCTCAGGAGATCGTCGGCCAGACCACTAAATAAGAATCAATGGAAAACGGTAAACAGGACAGGACTTCACTGTTTTGTTTTTAATGCAACACAAATTGACTTACAGGTTGTTTCTTTGGTGTTCCTTTGCCTGGATCAACATTGGTGCCTTCACGGACACAATTAGAATTCTTAATTTCGATTGTCTGTCATGGGAAGCAAAATATTTATCTAAAGCTTTATTGAGTCCATGATAAGGGCTGATTTGCTACCATACAATGAGTTGTGGGGCTGATTTGCCATTTTTGCCTTATTCTCATCCATTTGTTGCTCCACTGTCTCTATAGTATTCCAATGCTCTCCATGTTTGTTTCCTTCTCAACCCTTTGAGGTCCTTGATGTAAAGCCAACATCCGCAAACCCACCCCATGATTTCTTGTCTATCTCAAGCTGATTGGAGACACTTTCAGTACCTTGAATAGATGCAGTGGCAATCGGCTGCCCTGATAGGTCGATGAACTTGGAGCCTCAATCTCCTCGTCGAAATCGGCTGCGATTTGTCCTCCAACGTCGGTCCGGGATTCCTCCATTATACTTCTACTATAGATGCTAAGAGAGAATGTTTAGTGAAGCCCAGAGGAG